GTATGTGAGATATTTAAGGAATAATTTTATGATTGGCACATACACCCTGCTGACACACAGAGTTTCCATGGTCAAGCAGGGATTTGACCCTAGGTCTCCTCTATCCTAGTCCATCACTCTATCCACTACAACAGACTAGGTACAATTCTGCTTAATAGCTCCAAATGTGCAGTGGTGATAATGTCATCTAACATGGCACACTTCTTCCATTGCTTAATATTAGAGCAATGTACCTGACTGTCATTACTTTCTTTGAATATAGAAATGAGCAGCTCTGGACAACTCTGACTGAGTAGCACTTTAAAGTATAGTAGGCATATGTTTCTAAATTGTGTAAATATTGCTTTTTAGTGAAGCAGTGTTTAAACTGAAAGCTCACTGTGGTTCAACCTGGGCACTGATTAGAGCCATACTTACTTAACTTTTATCAGAATTAAGAGCACTCATTGCCTTCCTCTGCTGTTCATTATTCCCATACAGTGGATCCTCGACTTACAGACGGCTCGACTTACAGACTTTTCGAGTTACAGACTTCTCTGGCTGCAAAATTTAGATTCGACTTGCAGCCAGAGAATCGACTTACAGACCAGAAAAAACCAACATGGAATAAAAATAGAATAAAAACCACTGGTTATGGGATTAATCGGTTTTCAGTGCATTGTAGGTCAATGGAGATTCGACTTACAGACTTTTCGACTTGCAGCCACCATTCCAATACGGATTAATTCCTTAAGTAGAGGGTCCACTGTATTTATTTAGTTATTTTCCATATACCTCAACTTTCTGTCAAAAAAAAAATTTGTTCAGTGGCTCACAGTAATAAAAGGCAGATTCAAAACTAAATTGTGATTAATACAGAACAGAAGATGAAATGCATTAAAAAGCCAATTAAAACTCAACAGTAAAAGAAATAGCAAGCACTCAACTGGTTAGACCTCCTTCAACAGCATCATAGCACCATCATAGTCATCAAAACTCTACCGAAATATTAATGCCTTCTCCTGAGGACTGAAGGGAGACAGGAGGAGGAGGAGGAAGCTTCTCATGCCAACAAGTAAAATAAAAGTGAAGGAGCAGTCTCTGAGATGGCTCTTATTGCACCTTCATAAAACATGCCTATGATAGCAGTGAAACCATAAGAAGATAAAGTATGCCAGACGGGTCCAGTCCGCCCAGAGACCTTTGGGTAGTTTGGGCGGCATATAAGTTAAATAAAAAAGTTAAATAAATAAATAAATAAATAGATAACCATAATGACACTATGAGTCCACCTTATTTTTAAGACAAGTGTAGATGTTTTCTCCTCCAGATGTAAAAGATTAACTGTACTGTATTCAGTCCAGCATACTTTTGCCCCCCTTTTTAACAAATAAGAGTCATTATTTAAGACAACCCAATGCATGAAGTGTTAAGCAAGACAGTTACATTCCTTGCTTTTCCTGATCACGTAGCTGGTGACCAAAAATAGACCAAGACCATCAGCATCACTCATGGCTTGTTAATTGTCCTGTTTTAGATGCAGATGTTTTCTACTCCCAGACACTGCCCCCTCCCTTTTTTTTTTGAGCAATACAAAATATGCTGCTTTGGCATTTCTGTACCCTGTAAAACTTTGATTTTCTGTGAGCAGATAAACATCAAATCCCAGTAAGCAGTTGCCTTTTTGTCTTTCATGAGCTATAAAGTAACGAGACCTCTTTTAAGCAGGAGCGTCTGTGAAATCAGGAATTTTCTTTGTTTTCCCCAGAGAAGAGTGGTGTGCCTTTTAAAAACTGTGATCCCAGTCCTCTCCCCCTCTTTCTTTCTTTCCTCTCTTCTTTTTTTAACTTCTCCTATGTAGGGGGAAAAAAAAGAACAAGAAATTAGCATTGGAATTGACAGTTCCATTTGAAAGCTGTTTGGTTAACAGGCCAGCTTTGGTTAATTTGCTGTGATTTCCAGTGACTGTAGAATGCAAGAGGAGTGCCTTTAATCTACCCCCAACCCTTGAAATGCTAGTGCATTAAAACGAACTATCAGCAGTATGCTTGATCCACAATGTGTCAATTAAATGCATCTGTACTATTGTGGGGCTGGCCAGAAAAAAGACTTGCAGATAAGAGTTTGCTTTTCTACAAGCATTTTTCTCATACATGAAATTTAAAGTGGTGTGTACTTCAATTGGGTTTGCAGTGTGAGGGTAAGACATAGACCTAAAATGAACACAAATGAGAATACGGCTGCCCTTTACTCTCTCTCGCTCTGTGTGTGTGTGTTTGTGTGTGTGTGTGTGTGCGCGTGCGAATAATGGATAAATGTTGACTTAATACACATCACACACATTCAAGAGGCAAATAAAGTTTGGATCCAAAAGCAACTTAATATTTAAATCACACAGCATTGCAGCTGTAACAGAACTATTTTTTTTTTCTTGCAGAAGTTTTTCCAGTTCTCCAGAGCCATTTTTGGGTGCATAGAGCTACAGTGTGGAAAGAGATCTCCACCCTCACAAGTCCTCTGGATTCCACTATTTTTTCACAGGGGGTCCATTTTTACACCCTGCCCTAAGTCTCACATGTAAGAGGAGTTGCAATAGTCTATAAAAATTAAATAAGCCTTACATGGGTCCTGTTCCACATATTGCAGGATTTGAGAGCTTGTACCTGAGAGTGGGTGCCCAGGACAGAACAGGAATGTGTTGGTGTACCACCCACCTTGTTGCACAACAGTCTTTCCGCCTGAGGTGGTCAAAGGTATTGTGTTTCAGTCACCTCAGTTTGTTGCATTGGGCGACTATAAAATACATGCAGATACTGCCTTATTTTGAGTGATTCAGGACTTCATGTCTACCACAAAGACTATGAGGCTGTCCCAAGTGGTATCTGACCCCCCCTCATGTTGCAGAATAATAGTCTTGACCTGGTTTTCTGTACTGGGCTGGATGACGATAATCCAGGTGTAGAGGAATTCTCATTACTTCTGTTGTCATGGACAGATTTAGGCTTATGGGAACTCTATACCTCTGCAGTGGTGGTGGTGGGCAATTGAAAGGGCCTGCCCTAGGATACTAATGGGCCCAAATGGTTTCCTGATAGCTCTTGATGGAGTTTCTCTTGTCTTGGCAGAAACTGTTGAAGCCTTCGTGGATCACTGGAATGTAGAGGTGACTTTTGACAATGATCACTCCTTAGCATCCCCTTCCACAGAGTGTAGTCAAACAGCTCCTTTATCTGCTAGGGAGTATTTGACAATGTAATGAGTGGGATGGAGACTAGAGCAACAATGGTGGAAAACTTAGAGCTGATCCAATTGAACATGGGCTAGACCTTATTGGAAAGCCTATTCCGTGGCAACAAAGAAGCGATTGTTCTCTGCCACCACTGAATCTGCACAGAGTCATTCAATGGAGCTCTTTTGGCTGGTCAGGGGCTTAGCGCATAGCTGCGCACAAGAGAGGAGCAATGACCACTCAATGGCCTGTTGTAAAGAGTCTGGATGGCACTTTGCAAACAAGGTAAATTGGATCTGCTCTGACTTAGATGCTGTAGTTGACAGTTTCTGTTCATGTGACTTTGGCCCCTGCTACTCCTGTTACAATTGATACATTTTAGTTGATTCAAACTGAGGATGCAGCCAGGATCTTTGAAGAAGTGAAAATGCTCCATGTTAGCTCAACACTTGCCCTTCCGGACATATCAAAACAGCCACAAGGGAGCTGGCTGAGTGGGTTAGGGGAGTGGTGAATGTCTCCTTGCAGCAAGATAGGGAAACACCATGCATGCAATAGTAAGAACTTTGTTTTAAAAAATCCCACCTTGAATACCACTGTATTGGGCAAGGTTTTGGAGAATGTGGTGAAATCACATCCCCCTAGGTTCCTGGGGATGGGTTTGCGATCGCAAAAAGATCACTGTAAAGCGGTTTTGTCATAATGCGGGGCAATCATTAACCGAGGCACCCCTGTATACAACAAAGACAGCTTTGGTCACCTTGATGAATGACCTGTGCTAGGAATTGGACAAGGGGAGTATGTTCTGTTGGTTCTGCTGGACCATTTGGCAGCTTTTGTTACCATCAACCATGGTATCCTTCTGGGGCACCTTTCTGGGGTGGATCTTGGTAATACTATCTTACAAGAGTTCTGATTCTTACACATAGAGTCTCTCCTTGTGACTGGGAACTCTGAAAAATTTGGATTCCCAATCATATGGTGAGGTTTTACACATAGTACACACTTTCCTGCTCAACTTGTAAGTCTCCACAGCTATAAAAGAAGAGCAAGTGTATGTCTTCGTCCCCTCACCTGCATGGATTAGCCTTTAGCTGCAATTAACTACCATAATATATGCAATTTCACTTGAAGCTTGCATAAATCCCCAATATGATTCTAGCCATTAATTATTTTAGTTACTTTTCAGAACGAGGAAAACAGAATTTTGAAAATTTTTAATTTGAAAATTTTTAATTTACAAATTTTTAATTTGAAAATTGTAATTGTAACACTAAATAATTGACTTTGCACCTTTTAGTATAACTAATTAATTAGCTGAAACCCAGTATTGAGTCACAACTAGAGTAGGCCTACTGAAATAGTTGGGATTAATCAGAATGTGGGGAATTTACTCCTCTGTACATTCCATTGATTCATTGGACCTACACTATTTGTCCCTTATATCTGATTTCAACCATTATTTTAAAAAGTAATTTACCAATTACAAAGATATGTGCAATCTTTGCATATGACAGCACTGATTTTTGTTTGTTTGTTTATATACCACCTTTCCCCCCAGAGAGACCCAAAGTGGCTCACAACAGGTAAAATAAGAAATTTAAAAACACTATATAAATATCACTTTTTTAAAAAAGCATACATTGAGAACATTAGGAACATTGCAAGAATTTAGAAAGTATTTTATGCTCAATGTCATCTGTTCATTTAACTTTATTTTCTTTCCACTCCTATATTTATTTTATTTATTTACAGTATTTTTTAGCCGCACCATTACCAGTGGCTTCTATATAGGGCTGCATGGATCCTCCAGTTTGTCTGGAAGCTAGTTTGGCATGTTGAAATGGGTATTAATTTGGCCCAAAGTGGTTTGAATCTCACCTGTTTTGATTTCTCCCAAGATCTGAATCAACATGAACATCTGGCTTGCTAACCTCCTGTTGGCTTGCATTGAGCAAACTGCTGTAACTTTCCTATTTTGCACTGACAAATATGAAATCTGGGGATATGACAGCAGCCACATAGGTAAGTATAATATCAGATGGCTAGCTTCATAGTTTTGCACACTACACAACTCCCTATCCCAATCATGCCATCATTTCTTATTCACATATTATCCTGCCCCCACTAGTCTGACTTCCTCCCCACTCAAATTAGTCCAGACCACTTCTCACCACTTTCCTTCACTCCAAGACCAAATCCACTTTGATCAAGACTTCATACGAATCTGCCTGAATTGAGCTAATTCAGTTTGGGATTCAGCCTAATTAAATATTTTGAGAACAATGTATCTGTCAGTTAGTAGCACCAACCTTTTAACTGGCAAACACTCTTACTTCTTTTCCTTTTTTAGACTTGATCCAGTAGTTATAATCTTTCTGTTTCTAGTAGATTGGGTAAATATTTGCAACTGGCCATTATCATGGCCATCATAAGGGTGAATTCAGCAGTTCGTTTCAGCATAAGCAAGCTCATGATTGAATTAGTGCCACTTGGCCTATCTTGCATTGCTAGGCAATTGTTCGTTGTGATCAGAGACAGTGATCTGTGACAACTGATCCATAATAACTATTCCATACGGTCAAGTTATGAAACACTCTGAAATTGTCATATGGAAAGAACATGCAAACTCAAACTAGACAGGGAAGGTTCGATGATGTTGCAGATGTGAGCAACACCATGTAGCATTGCCTCATGCAAGCAGATAGTATTCTGTCTGTCCAACACAGTAACCCAATCTTAAGGGAATGAGGTGGAAAGTCTATGGAAGCATAATAGAATTCAATACATAGCATTTATGTGTTTTAAATTATTTATATATGCATGAATGCATTTTATATACTTATGAATATACTTGGATGCAGAGTTCTGTGAGTAACTTTTCAGTCATGGGAGAGTGGCCAAAATCCTTTTGTTTAAGATTACTTAGTTTTACATAGCAAGTCACAGTCAGAGTTAGGCCCATGGGAATTACTGGAATCAACAGAGGAATTGACTAACAAAATCCCCATTGATTCAACAGGCCTACTTTAGTACAATTTTCTACACTAAGCAGCAGGATTTTGGCCAGAGAATTTTTCTCTCAGCTATCTTGTAAACCTCCAGAACAGAGGCTGGGATACCATCTGCCACAGTATATGAGATGGCATGAGGGAGTGAAGGGGAATCGACTTATTCTTGTTGCTGGTTTCTACTTCCATTTACTTGGGTTCAAAAGCTTTCTAAATACAGAAAGACCCTTTGTGCAAATGAAAGTATACCTTCAGGTCCAATTCACCATTTTTATTGTGTTTGGACTGTGTTAGAGATGTGAATCTTGCATCCTCTTGTTCTCAGAAAGAAATAGGAGAAGGCAATCATTGTTTTCTCCTTGCAGAGGTATTTCTTTGTGTGACCTTCCCGCGCTCAAGAGAAATCTGGTGGCAAATTTTGCAGATGTTCCTGTAGGCAACTCTCGCAGATTCCTCACGTTGTGTGGTATTTTTCCAGAAGTCAACTCGTGCTGGCTTATTACACTTTCTACACAGAACAGCATATTTTCTGTGCAGAATTCACCTGGAAAAATTTAGAAAGAACCCAAAGTTATACAGGATTGTTACAATTCCTGTACAGAATGGTGTCCTTCCTGCACAGAGTTTACCAAAAAGGGCATGAGGACTTAGTAGTTTGCTGAGGGGAAAAAAGGACCTAGTAGGAGGAAAATGAGATTGAGGTCTTGTTTTTACAAATCAAAAAATCTTGGTTATGAAAAGGGAAATTCAGGATGCAACCACAGAGGCGTTTGTCCTGCTGCTTATCTCATGTTTCTCACTGACGATTTCAATATTATATCTGAAAATCCAACAGCTTTTTTGCTATACCCAAGTAGATCCATGAATATCTAGTACATTTTACTCAGCCTGTCTTTTTTCCTTCCATCTCTCTCTGTCTCTCTCTCTCTTTGTGCAGAGAAATCCCTGTTGTTGTCTTTCCTTGCTGTTGTTGTTTTGGCTTAGAATTTATTATTTGAAGGATTTTTAAGTCCTTCTGGAACATTGCCAAACATTTCTTGAAAACATAGACTGAGATGTTTATAATAATGGAAATCATGTTTCTTTTGAAAACATAGACTGAGATGTTTATAATGATGGAAATCATGTTTCTTAGTATAATAAATTGCACTAGAGCAGGCCCATTGAATGAGTGGGAATTTAGTGAATCAACTCCTCTGCAGGTTCCATTGATTTAAATGTGTCTACTGTACTTGCAAATTACTTAGTAAGTAACATAGTAGGCCCACTGGAATCAATGGCACTTACGGAGACATTGAGTCACAAAATCTCTACTGATTCAATGGGCCGACTCTAGTGTGACTTACTACACTAAGTAACAGAATTTCAGCCAATGAGTCATGGTTTGAAAGTGAACACTTATTCCAGTTCCCTTCCTACTAGTTTGAACTTCCACTAAAATAATTGCCTCTTATTGTTTATTTAAAGATTTTTTTTCAGTTATTGTAGCACTACATCAGGTCAAACAAATTTTATGCTGTGCTGGTATACTGATATATCATTTCAGTGAGCTTTTAGTTGTTAATTTAACAACAACAACAAAAGATTTTGAAGCAGCAGTTATATGCAATGGAAGCATGAAATACAGCACAACAAAAAATCTGGGAGAATCATGTCACAATATCACCCAGTACTGGACAGTTGAAATTCGCTTTTAGTTGTTAATTTAACAACAACAAAAGATTTTGAAGCAGCAGGTATATGCAATGGAAGCATGAAATGCAGCACAACAAAAAATCTGGGAAAATCATGTCACAATATCAGCCAGTACTGGACAGTTGAAATGCAGCATCCTGGGCTAAAAGAAACTCAGATGTATGAATCATACAACTGGTATCATCTGTGGCTATGTAGTACATGGAGTGTGAATCAATATGAAACAATCACCCTGTGTGGCTATACCAGCAGTAGGAAGTCTTTACATAAGGACAGTTGGGAAATTGCTGGAGATGAGACATTTTGGGAGTACTTATCATATATGTTTCTCTGTATCCCCTACAACAAGATAGGTCTGTAATAATAGGGATGTGCAGATATATCAAATGTGCACACATGGATATGGCACTTTCCTACCTCCATATTTGGGTTACACATGTTTCTGTCATTTCTTTACTTTTTTATGCACAGAGAGAGAGAGAGAGAGATGAATGGGATGTCTGGCCACAGATCTATCTAGCTATCTTACAGCAGTTCACGCCAGTGCATTTATTGGCTGAGCTGGTGTTTGGAGTTTTGCAGTTCCGCCTCCTCTGGTGGGCACCCACTTAGGCTCTGACTTACCTGCATCTACCAAAGAAACTGGGGCTGCAAGGTGCCAAACACCTATTCGGCTGATTAACAAAACAAAACAGCATGAACAACCATCTTCCTTCCTTCCTTCCTTCCATCCTTACTGCCTGCCTATGCCTATGCCTGCCTATGCCTATGCCTGCCTATGCCTGTCTCATAATACACATCAGACAAAATCTAACAATGAACTAATGATGGCATGGGGAAGAAATCTGCCACTGTGGGTTCTTCACACACCCCTATTCGCCCCCCACATACATTGTAGATGGAGAAATTGTGTCCCATGTATATATAGCAAGAGTGCTTATGACCTGGGCAACATGTGGAACAGTACCATTCTAGGTCACAGTTCTGCCTCTTGCCTGTAGTTGATCTCTAAAGTATCTAATACTTGGCTGATTCCATTGGAAAAGACAAAAATAGACCCCGATTTTAAGTCATATGAAGAAAACAATGTCCATAAATAATACATGTCTACATAGCTCCCATCTAATAACTTGAAATGAGTTTAGAAATAATTGTATACCACATACTATATGCGTTTCAAATATTGAAACCTTGGTTTTTTTATTAAAAAAAATTTTGCATCTCATTTTTTTAAATGGGGGAAGGGGAAGAAGATGGCTATTTCTTTTAATCTACAGACAAAAAGGAGTCACTTTTACATCTGAAAATCAGCTTGTTATTGATTCCATCCCTGTTAATATTCATGAAGCTCTATCACAGGACTGGAGATTTTAACACAGTGCCCCCACACTCTAAATCAATTCCCATTGATTTCAATTGGCTTCTCCCATCCAAGCATCGACCTTGCTCCCTCCCTTAGAAACCTGCTCCCAAGGTCCTTTGAAGCACACTTGCAGCATAATGAGCTCAGAGGGATCACATAGGCTCAGAGTTGTCTATTTGCTTGTTCCAGCAGGAGATGGGTAAATACTGTTCACAAGCAAAGCCAAATTTTGTATAAAAGCCTCTCCCAGAAGCAGCTCAATTCTTCCTTGCTTTATCATATTGCAGTTTTGGTGGTGGTGGTGTTTGTTTAGGTCCTTAAAGCAGATTTCAATATGAAACAATGGCCAAAATCCTGTTGAGTAAATTGCATGTGCATAGGGGGGGTGACATGACCGGTGGGGGAGATTATTGGTAATTAAGAACTTCTGGGTCACCTGCAATGAGACTGTGGATGAGTTGCAGGTATGTCTGGCAAGCTCTTTGATCAAAGCAGAAACTCTTTAATTAGTGGCAATCATTTTCTACTGATGAGGTCATTATTTTTATCCAGGCATAATTCAATCAACAATATTTTGGCCCATACAACATTCCCACTGATTCCTCCACAACAGCAGCATAAAAATAGCAAAGACAGACAAATTTATTATTGTAGAAACTGTCGTAGTCCAATATCCAACTGGATAAAACTGCTGAATTTGGAAGGGAATTGTGACTACCCCAGCTCTGTTGGGTGGCAGGAAGATTCTCTTCGGTCATAAAGTCAAGACTCTGGTCTCTATTAAGGTGGGGTAGCAGAGCACAATGATTGGGTACATTCTGTCTACGGGGGAGCTGAGTCCCTGTTGCTTCCAGTTTTGATCCAGGCCCAAGTTCCCATCATTGGGCTGATACAGTCCACAGTCTGTGGCCAGGGTCTGGTTTTTCAGACTGATATTCTACAAGGACATCTTATAAACTCCCATCTCCTCCAAGCCCTTCCTGCCTCTGGTGACTGTAGAAGGCACTCCTTTTGTGTTTCCTATGCCAGTGCCTCCTCTGGATTGAGGTGGGATCAGGGTACCCAGTAGGTCATTTAGGCTTCCAGGAGATCAGTGTTGGTGGCCGATTGAACAGCTGAAAACCTCTATTGTGTCTTTGTCCTTTAGCAGACTGGGACTGAATTCATTCCCTGGTCCAAGGATTCTCAATCACCAGGAGGCAGTCCTCATCAAGGGTGCAAAATATTGGGGCTGGATCCTCTTCAACCCCTACCCATTGCTCTCCCTCTGAGTCTGTCAAAAGGAAAGAGTCCCCCATCAATCCTTCCTTCTCCTCCTTTAAACCCAGCTCCTGCTAGCCTGGACCAGCCTCTGGACCCTCATCCAGGTCTGTCTTATCTCTTCCTCCTTCTTCCTACCTGGGACCTCATTCTCCCTCTCTGTGCCCTCAGATTGCCTTTTGCTGGGATCTCCATGAGGTCTGCCAAGGGACACAGAGCCAATGCAGGAACAGCCAAAGCATCCTGCTTACAGGGATAATACTCTTGTCCCTTACATCCTCCAAATTTGTACTAGAGGACTGAAAAATTCTCCAGAAAGCAAAAGTAGGGGAAGGATGCAGAGGGAAATTCAACTGCACTAGCCAATGAGTCTTAACCTGACATTTTATGTAATCCATGGAGTACACTCCACTTTGTCAGTCGTTTGTAGCTTACCAAGTGCATAGCTGGAGAGGGAAGTCAGAAGGAACTGAAATGCAGAAAGTTCAAGTTCAGAAAGCCCACTTCCCCAGCCCTATTTGAAGGTGCAGGAAGGAAATTGGAGATGCTTTGCTTGTCAAACATGTGCTCTTTTTTGGAGCTACAAAGATTTGCTATTCTCTGTACCCTTTCTGGAATTTCTCTGAAATGAACTGGGGTAGGAGGAAGTGCCTCTTACACACAGCACTTTTGCTCCTGTATTTGACTGTGTGCTTTTTTTTTTCCAAATATGTGGTCATGTGGTTCCCTTGACTTTTTGTTTTCCCTTTCTGAAGATTCTTCCTGTCTCTAAGTAGACTATTGGTATCTTTTCTTGCAATCAGAGAAGGCCGGACATTGCTGTACTCAATGGGAGGAAGGCTCTGTAATTAAGAAGATCCCTTGCTGTTTACAAAAACACTTATGAATACACAGATGGCCCAGAGGTCAGTCTCAAACTCTACATTTAATTAAATATGAGGCAAGAAGGCATATGATGAGAAAGTGGGATGATGTGGATGGCAGGGACAGATGTGAGTACTGTGTAATGAAAATCAGTGACTATTTTTTTTTAAAATGTCATTGATGTAAGATTTGTTCCCCAATGTTGCTTGTAGTAGCATTTCCCTGCTTACATTGACGATGCTTTACAAAATCAAGTTAAAAATATCCCTCTACAATGGGAGGGCAGAGCAATGAAAGACAGCTCATTTGGGGGGTAAAGGAAAAAAGAGAGAGTTCTAACAAAAAGTTATTATTATTTGTGATGGCTTGAGGATAGTTTTAGGTTTGGTTTCATCGCTTTTCCAATTATTTACAAAATGGTAGAAGTAGTCTTGAGGCACTGCCTAATCAAAGATTTAATAGAATAAGTTCCTTTTTTGATTACAAGAATTAACTGTGTTGCATTTCAAAAGTGACATAATATGCAGATGAAAAAGTTACATTTTGACCTAATAAGGAACATTTTCTAGTTATTTACAAAATGGTAGAAGTAGTCTTGTAAAAACAATCAGTTTTGAATGTTACAGAGGCAGGCTTCATGATGGCTACATGTGTTAAAAAACTAGCTACTCATTTTGATGACATTGCCAACCGATAAGCCTCTGTATACAATGTGCTAGCATACACAGCTGAGAAGGAGGTGTTGCAGTTCTATCTTGCATGTGGTCTTCCCAGAGGCACTGCCTAATCAAAGATTTAATAAAATAAGTTCCTTTTTTGATTACAAGAATTAACTGTGTTGCATTTCAAAAGTGACATAATATGCAGATGAAAAAGTTACATTTTGACCTAATAAGGAACATTTTCTAGTTATTTTCAAATGTCATAAAGGATATTTTTAAGGCATTTTAGAGAAATCTGGATAGGAATTGTTCGCATTTGAGAGCCGTCCCTCCATAATAAATGCTAGAAATGTCGCTCTGTATTTTCTTTTGTATTTTTAAGTACTTTCAATGTAAAATATCATAGTTACCCATTACTAGGAACCACAGAGTATTTCTTTGTATGTTTCTGGCATGCTGTCGGCAATGGAAGAATGGAGCAAGAATGTGAAATGCTGTAAGTTATTATTATTATGTATGAGTGTGTCAATGATAAGGATAACAGCCATCGGACTGCTGCAAACTAAGCAATAGGATAATGACTCACTTTGTTTTGTTTTGTGTTTTTATAAAAACAGATACAATTCTCTGGCACCATTATGTTGGTGTAACAATAATGGCTTAACTTTTGGGGGCAAATTATCTCAAGTTGAGAAATCCTTTTAGGCAGAATAAGAGGATTTGGGTCAACGTTCCAAGCCCTGGATTCTCTGCTTTGACCTTAGATTACCAGTGTTAACGAACAGCAGAACCAGGACCATGTCGGAGAAAGTGCCTTCTACATCTCCACCCCCACCCCCATTCCCAATTCCCAGATGGCAATAAGTTGAAAACCAGAATTGTGTCCCAGAGTTGGCAAGCAAGTAGAACCTGAACATCATAAATCAGAGGGAAATAAGTCTTTAGTCTGAAGGCATCTTCTATTCCGGTGCTGGGCAAAAGGGAACCCTCAGATATTGTTGGACGACAACAGCCGTCAGTTCTACCCAGCATAGGGAGGGATGCTGGGAATACAAAGTCCAACCACAGTTGGAGGATGTCAATTTGCTTACCTCTCTTCCATCCAAAGGCCTGTCCAGTTGAAGTCTGTTTTAAAGATTAGTAACAATAGGTAGGAAAAGCAGGAATCCTGGAGGGCAGATGATCTGCTCACACTCTCCTCCATGATTAGAATTATTGTACTTACAATTTAGTGGATCAGGCCCAACCATATCCATCTTCAGCTGAAGGAGAAGGAAGACAATCCTCAAAGTGATCACTTAACTAATAGACATGTATTTAAAATAATGAAGATTAGTTCAACATGCAGAGCTGCTTTTGAAAGTAGAAGCACTGGGCTATTCTTCCTGCCTTATCTTTTTAGATACAAAAATTATGTACATAACAACTTAAAAATATAAACTGAGATGAAACCTATGATTGTACCGCTATGTGGAGAAAGAACAAACTGATCCATGACAAACAAGGGGGAAACAAATGGCATTGCACAGTGTGTTTGTTGGAATCTAGAACACATGTTATTTCCCTGGTATGCCACTTGTCTCTCTCCTTCTTCCTACACTTCCTGGAAACTCTGTCATTCATTAAAAGTGAGCAACAGACATGAAAAGGAAAGTCAATGGATAATACAAGGTGCAGAACAGCAGAGCAAGTGTGTGCTGTTCATACACACAGTGATCTGGAATAGACATGGCAAAACATGGGGGGGGCTTTGGACTACAACTCCCAGAATACCCTAGTAAGCCTTCAGTATTCTTGGAACTGTAGCCTCCCCCAATAAAAAAGACCTCTCATTTCTGATCTTGAACCCACAGACCAATCCCACTCTTACAAGCTCTCAGATCTTGATTGTGGGCTTCAAAATACTGGTATTCTGAATATCCCTTGTTTCATTCTGCTCCCTAGCTCAATAATTTGGAAGGAGGGAGGTCTGGAGCCTTAGGCTTTTTCAGAAGCTCTCTAACTTTGTTTGCAAGCCTCTTCAATAAATCAGTGCTTCACTAACTTTGTACCAGGGTGTTTTGCGGAGGGATGTGTGAATGTGGCTTTGGAG